ACTGGATAAAAAACGCAACAGTAGGAACATTCCCGTTGCATGCTGCTAACCATTCATCAAAAGCCGCGCCCCTCAAAGAGATATAACCCCCGAAAAGACCCCAGGACGTTGGCAGGCCCAACAACCGCGCTCCAATGACGTTTTTCCAATGAAAGCGGTCGCAACGTTGCGATCGATAATAGCCAAGTATAGAACGATTACTGCCGCCTGGTTATCCATTTTTTTCATTTGGCTCCGCATTTTTTTATTTTTCATGTTTCGCTTTGTTGTGTCGTGCATGTTTTCATGATTTCCCCGTCACCATTCATTGAATGCACATCTGGGCCTGACTTGGGGCTATTTTTTCACCAATTTAGCTTATCAATGATCACCATTAGTAGAGAAGAGTCGTTTTAGAGCAGAGTCCGGCTTTCGAAAATCCAGATTCCATTTCAGGAAGCCATTTGTGGTGAACATGCATCTGGTTGTCAGTTAGAGCAGGAGGGGGGGGTCGTAACTGGACCCTCTTCGAGGGGGTCGTACTCACACCGCCATTTCGCACATCCCCATGCTGTACCCTGTTCTTGGCAGAGGTTTTTGTTCGCCCATAACTCTGCATTCTTGCGATGTCATTCGTAGCGCGGAAATGCAGGTTTTTGTACCAGTTGTTTGGATTACTGTAATACGCCTACACTTAACCATAGCCAGTATCAATGAAACTCATGGGCGCCTTCCTGGCTCATCTACTTCTGATGCCAGCGGACTGGAGAGGAGAATTGTTTTCTCCAATTCGATCTATCTTCGGGGGGTTCTTGGAAGATGCTACCAGCCAACTTCGGTGACTTGCTAGAGTACACCGTGGACCTCAAAGTAGTGCCATTTACGAGAAATTCATAGAGAGGAAAATCGCAATTACTGTGGAATTGTCGCCTTTCTAAATTCATAAAACGCTACCACATGTACGATCAGTAAACCTGAACGAAACACTCATGGGCGCATTCCTGGCTCATCTACTTCTGATGCCAGCGGACTGGAGATCAAGGAGAATTGTTTTCTCCAGTTCGATCTAGACCTGTTTATCGAAGTGCTTTACTCGCACGTTTTGCCTATGGGTTCACAAGTGTGTTCAAAGGAGACCATGTCCGAAGAATGCCTCCGAAGACTTAGGTGATGAAGCTCAGTAGGGGTCTCTGACAAGTGATCTACATTAGGTAAGGCAGTGCAGTGGAAGGGCTGGGTTGCCGTTCTGGGTGTTCTTGGAAGATGTCACCAGCCAGAGTACACCCGGTGTCCGTCAAAGTAGTGCCGATTCAATTAAAATTTCGTAGAGAAAATGTGAAGTTTCGTCTTTCTATTCTTCATAACAGCCCCTTTCTATTCTCCGAACAGCTTTAAACAGTTTCTCTCGCAGCGCATTACGCATTTCGCGGCACGCCCACTGATCGACGCGCGGTAGTGTTGATGGACTGGGACGCCTGCCAGTCATCCTCTGTTACCGGATAGCGAATATTTCTGTACGGATGGAGGAGTGAGGGATAAAACAATGAGCTATGCAGGACAGTTTGAGCGGTTTCTATGGTGAGAGATTGGGGCCTTGAGCAGAAAGCGAATGAAATCGTCGCTGACGTCTATGATTTCCGACTTGATTTCGATAGCACAGCGTTCTGCAAGCCACCACCTGAAAGCGTTGTAGGACCTTTCAGACAGTTTCCTGCTGGCCATCACACTGGTGTTTGTAGGGGAGAAAAAAGCAAATTGTCTGATAGACAACTTACTCAAGATAGTATAATCTTCTATGCTGTGAACTCTGGTGAGTCAATAGCTCAATCCCCTTACCACCTTCTTATTGTGGCGTGATTTGTTTATCAGTCTTACTTGGAATATGGAAACGATTTATGGTCAGATCATTTGCAAAGGGTACGAAATTTTACATGAAGGCAGCTACTCATATAGACTTCTCGCTCAAATGAACTGTGTACTCACCTCGGGGGACGACGCGAGGTGAACGGGTTCGCATCTGCAGAAGCGTGCCACTTACTTCGCTCAAGAGCGCACGGGAAGGAAACTGTGGAGTAGTGGTTTTGTAGGTGGCGTCTCTATGCTCCGCTCGAGCTTTCCTCAATGTACAACACTTGCATCGTTACCAAGTTCCCGCGGCGAAGCACGCACTCAGCGCGCACTGGAGAACAGTCACGAATGAAGTCGCAGACAAGTTGTCATGCATAGGCGCGTGACTGTCGCCGCGGTAGCGCAGCGCTAGTGTGGAGACGAGACTCGGGTACCACTATCTCACAGCTTTACCCCTGTGGGAGAAAATGGTACGCTAAAGCTGAGGACCCTCCTGAGCATCAGGATCCACTAAGGTAAATTTACAGTTTTTCTCAAAGCTCATAGGGCATCGCCGGCAAATCCTTCATGGCTCATAAATCTTAATGGATGAAACAGAGATGAGAATGAAAACTGTGGTGACCAAAGCGGAATAAGGTGAACTGGCGTTCCCTGCCAGTGCGAATGTGAATATTTGACGTGGGTCTACAAATGTGCTGCTGAGACCATGTACTGTACTTCACATTTTCCGTAGATGACAGGCTGGGCATGCTTACTACATTTGAACGTGATGTAGGAATCTATATTCATGGACCATACTCGGTTGAGACAACAGTTATCCTGTCTTGTGCAGGACGAAGGCATAATTGCAGCTATCCTTAAATAGCAATGTCCCAGAAAAGCTGCTGCGACAGCGATGTTCTATTCAACTAGAGTCGGTTCCTCTCAAGTCGATCGGGGTCAGCGAATGCGTGGATTTTGACGCTGGAGCTGCGCCGTCCACTTTGTCACCGCTACTCGAACGCCCAAAGCTGAACTACTAAGGGAACGCTGTGCTGGAGCCTAGGCAACATGAAATGCCCCAACCAACTCTAGTGATAACGACTGAATATAGTCTAGGCCCCCCATTTCCCTTTACATTATTTATTTATTTTTATTTGTTTGCACATAACATGCATCATTGAATAGCGAAAACGACACGTCAGCTACACACAAAACAAAGGAAGAACAAACCTACACAGAAGAAACGGACAAACCACTAGATGTGCTGAACAAACAATATGGAACGAGTCTGGTGAAAAAGGACCCTACTATAAGGCCTTAACTCCATGGATCATTTTCCGGAACCCCTTTTCTTCTCTAGTCTACTGCCAATCCTATATATCGATGAATCAGGGACTAGTTGCCCCAGGGAGCAAGAATAAAGGACTTACTGTCAGAAAAAGGTCATCGATTATCGCATTATTCGGGGATTCTCCTGATATATCAGTAAAATCCAAAATGCCGTGAGACTACAAAAAGAACCCATCAAACGAGCATCCATCGATTCATCTTTATTTATGTTATTCATGATTGGTTCATAATAATCCTTCTTCATTACCCTTTCTTTGTAGGGAGATCAGTGGTGATTGGTCACACCTCGAAAATTCGAAACCACTCCACGGATGTCCTCCTACCTGTTGGCTGTTATCGTCTCTGAATTCGAGTACAATGAAGGTTTCACGAAAACAGGAGTACGGGTAAGAGAACTTCATCTGAACGTTCAGGGTGACTTAGGTTGATTAGCCACATTAAGTTTCGAATATGGTCGCGTCCAGAGGCAAAAAATATGACACAGTATGCTCTAGATGCTGGCATCAGATGCTTAGAATTCTATGAGAACTATTTCGACATCAAATTTCCACTCAAAAAGCAAGGTTTGTGCTCAGAATTGTTGACAACATGAAGCACAAGATCCTAATTTATTTTCAAAGTTTTCCTTTCTCAGATATGGTTGCTCTCCCTGATTTCTCGGCAGGTGCTATGGAAAACTGGGGACTCATCACTTACAGGTGATTTTTCATTGCAAGAATTATCCAACTTACCAGAAGTAGAGGAAAAAATTGGGTTCCCAGAAAGTGCACATCATTGATTGGGGATTTTGGCCGAGTCTGTACAACCCCTCACTCTCAAAAAATAACTTGACTAACTTGACCTCCCTCCCTTTTTTCGTCATCCCACCTAACACGTAGATTCTTTCCAGCATTCCCGGAATTTCTCGGAAGTTTTCTTACATTTTTTTCTCAAAGTTTTGCTATTGAGCAGGGAGGGGGAGTATATAGCACATGTGAAAAAGGAAAAACCGCGAACAATCAACGATTGAAAGAAATTTTTCCCTACTACGCAGATTTGTCTCAGGAGGCAGATAGGACCCCCCCCCCCTCTTCTAGCAACGAGCAAATACAACCCCTCCCTTATAGCGTCCGTTATGCAGCAAAATTCAAATTTCAAAGAAATATTCAAAGGCAAGTATGATCCGCTCACCCCACCCTGTTGGGGAATCTCCAACGATGATGTGCTGTTTCAAAAACGCATTACGCGATACCAAATTTCAACTCAATCCTTTCACTGTATCCTTCTGAACATGCCGCTGTTCCTTCCTTTTTCAGAGAAAACTCCCTGTTGTATGATGATCGATACTATGCACCGATGAATAAACAAAGGGTAGCTCTTGTGGTTGCCCATGAACTTGCTCATCAGGTATTCTTAGATTTTGAGTTTTAGTGGTTTACAGTGTAAGTAGAAATCGGCGAGAAAACAAGTGGAGTTTAGAGCATGTCATCCAAACGTCATGCATAATTCTTCTCCTTCGTTGAAGGTCTGCGCTATAGTCAGCTGTATAGGTCCAGTGACTCCACCTCCAGACTCCGCCCTCATGTCCCGCCTTTCACTGAAAAACGCAGGACGGAAAAGCGTGAAAGCATGAAAATCTTAACTTGTACGGTTCTAGAGTTCTTATCGGATAATCAGCCGTACGGATGAGGGCGCAGTGCTCGAGATGGGGTTAATTGGGCACGTACAACGGCGATCGAAAGGGGTTCT